GGGGTGAAAGAAGGCTTATTTCAAGGAAAAAAAGCTTTCTTTTCCCCTTTATTTTTTTTTAGTTTTTTGTCGTATCTTTTTTGTCGATACACTACTGGTACGCCCCCATACACCCCTGGTACGCCTCCGATACGCCCCAATACGGGTTTGATACGCATGAAAAAAAGACGAGACGTCCGATTTCCATCCGTATCCTATATATGTTTTTCAAAGATATGATATGATACGTCGGGTGTGTCGTATCAAAATTTTAAACCTTGGATGCTATTCCTTAGGCGGTGTTGCGATCACAAGCTTGGTGGTTTGTGTGGTTGGGGGTGCAGTGGGCTTAAGGAGCTGTTGGGACCATAACTTTTACACCCTTCATGCCACTTGTTGAGCATCAGATATAAAATAGATGTATGAGGCCACCAACAATTGTTGCCTCAGGGCAGGTTTCAGTCCCTTAATATACCAAGTCATTGTGATCTTGGGTTCTTGCAAATTCGTCAAGGCCAGTAATGACTGAAACTTGATGTACTCGTCTACTCTCTTGGCTCCCTCTCATAACGACTGTAGTTATAATATGAAGAGGCTGATGGTAATATGGAGGAACTCATAGCGTGAGAACTCTCTCTTCATCTTTTGGGTGCATGATTTTCGAATTTGACAATCTAGCACTTAGGAGGCGTTTTTTTTTCGGATTTTGAGAGGGGGGAAAGTTGGTCAATGGGATTTTAGTTCCCATTGACCAAGAATCCCATGTTCTTTTTTCAGATTTATGTGGGGATCAAGGAAAGTTTATTTTCTTACGTATCATTTACCCGGGTAAGTGATACCCATTTCCTAGGTGGGTAAATAACTTTCCCACCTAGGGGGAAAGTTGCCAACATTTGAATGGGACAAAAATACCCTTTTTAATAATAGATTTTTATGGTTAAAATGGTCATTGCCTTATTTACATGAGAAATAAAAGAACATGGATAAATGCACTTACCCAGATAAGTGTTTCATAGGAAAAACTTACCTAGATAACTACATTTACCCGGGTAAGTAACTTACCAAAAAGTGAATGGGCCTTATTGACATACCATCATTCCAGTGATGGTGATGTATTTCTCACTCGGCTGATTTCTATGAGGAAAACACCGAGGCTTCTTCCTTTTCTTCTTCCATGCCGAATCAATAAAGGGAGAGAAGGAAGAGGAGACAAATGAGTGCTCCTAGAAGCTTTCCTGCCTCAGCACCCAAGGGCTAAGTTAATGAGCCCTTGGGCCTGAACCGAAATCTGGTCAAGTCATTTATCAAAGTTGGGTTATGTGTTCCTCTAAGTCCTACATCTAGGGGCATTCCTCTGCATATCTCGAACAAAACTTTCTTTAGTAGTGTGCCCCTCCACATCCATAAGCCATTGTAATTCTGATATTAGATGGTGTGGCCGGTAATCTCTAATTGAGTGAATCTCGTAGAGTATAATCGGCGACAATAAGAATGTTATGTTGCAGTAATGGTAAACTGAAGCAGACACCATCCTCTTGGCTTTGCAACCTTTAGGTTATGTTTGGTTTGAAGGAAAAGATAGGGAAACCTATACAAGTTTTGTAAAGGTTTCTTTACCTTTTCCTTCCTTTTCCTACCTTTCTCTTCAAACCAAACACAGCCTAAGGAAGCGATCTTAGTCTCTTCTCTATGGCTCTAAACAAGACCAACAAGAGAGAGAAGAACAAAGATATGCGCCTGAAGGCAAAATGTTGTATTCAATTCAAGATAAAACTATCTCTACAAGCATCGGGGTAGCTTTTATGGTGCCGAACACAAAGAAGATTACAACTGCATCAAAACAATGATACCATACTAATTAACAAGTAAGATATACTCCACAAGCACTTGTAAGCTGAGAATAGAAACTGGCAGTTTTCGGTGTTCGAGAGCTTTGCAAGTTGATGATTAATAAGCAGGTAAGGTTGGCACCAGGGGCGGAGCCAGGAAATTGTTAAAACATAAATGAAGTATCGCTGGGCCCATAAGGGGGGAGGGGGGATAGGGGGATAGACACGTAGCACAGGAGGCCTGCAGTTACACATGATCCCATGCCTCTAAAATCCAAGATGCCGAGTGACCATCAAGGTTCTAAATATCGATAAGCATACACCCGATACTTTGGGGCATATCGGACAGTATCGGTACTTTTTTTTTTCAAATCCGGTTCAGGGGGGAGGTTTAAGGTTCCTCTACCCCCAAACAGGTCAAAACCCTAATACACCCTCTGTAGGGGCGTATCGAGATGCTCCCAATACGATACATATCAGCCAATACGAACCAATACATAACGATACTTTGAACCTTGGTGATCTCAGCTATTGGGTGATAGGCATCTGGAACTCAAGTTTAGAAACATCAGACTCACTTTAGCAAGTAATGTTAGATTTTTGACGCTATTTGCTCCCTTTTGAATATGACGGGAAAGCCATGCAACTTGAAACAATTTTATGTAATGTCTAGGCTTTTTAAAGGGGGTTGTGGGTTCCTTATAATGGCTGAACTGAAGTTCAGTAGACCACTATAACGTTTTATTATTTAATTATTTTAACAACTAAAAGGACAGAAATAAGTCTTTCAGTTCAGTAACTACAGTCGTTATCAAACAGCCAACTGTCTCGTAGCATTCGTAGTATTCTTTGAAAGCTTCACGATTGACCATGCTTCACTCTAGAGAATATCTCACATCAGTACGTGAGACTTATCCTTTACCAAGGATCTCAGATTTTAGAATTCAAAAAACTTTATTTCCTAATTGAAAAAACTACTTCATCCCGGGAATCAGTGAGCAGCATTGTTGGTAGATTCTTGATTTCCTACTTCATTCCATGCCAAGCTCAATATCTGTCAGCATTGGTAGATTCTTGCAATGTTCTTTAGTGAATATCTTCCCATTACCAGATTCAAATTTGAGAAGCAATGTCGAGGAACAAGGGTATCCAACTTATGTAAGTCTACCTTGAATTTAACAAACTACAACATCATTGTCAAAATTTTTTGGTTCCCACTTCTCATTCCTTTTTCTGGGCTATTCAATTCTCATTCTTAATATCATTTATATTTTGGTTTCTTCTATTTTACCCATGCTTCCTTTTCCACCAATGTAGATCTTCCAAAAACTGAACCCAGTCCATAAAAATGGTATCGTCAAACTCCACCAAATTTAGGAATATATTCAATCTCACTCTTAGCTCCTCAAGTATCGTTGGAAGAGTCAGAGGGGACTTAGGATATACATGACGAACGCACACCAAGGAATCAAATTCGAGATGAGAGAAACTTGCAAAAACTGCCACTTAATCAACAGCATATCTATAAGAACATAGAGAGGTGAGTCACTTAAAATTAGAAAAAACCAGTATATTTTGCCATTAGATGTAGAACGTAGCTCCTTATATTGTATACATGTGTGTTTATAATACAATATGGAAAGACATAATTACCTCTGATTAATGGAATAAAAACATAATCACACAAGAATAACTATTCTCTACAATTGGGTTGTCCTCACCTAGAAGAGTATCCTCTGGTTGAAATTGAGCAGATGAACTTAGCACAATATCCAACCTATAGCATTCCTTTGGGTGGTGGTCCAATTACAACACCTAAATAACATGTAACTGAGTCAGTGGTAATATGGACAAGTTATACTCGAGATCACCCAAATTGAGGTCCATCAAGTAGTCATTCCCTGCAGTCTTCATGTATGGGTATTTCTACATGGACAGTGCAAATCCCTGCCTGTAGATTTCCACAAATACTATCATCATCAACACCAAAGGACATTTGTAAAGCTTTCCCAGCTTGACTGCAAAGCCAGTTCTCAAGATGCAATCTACCCACTGAATTTGCATGAATCCAATTTGAAGGGTCAAGAACCTGCATAGCTAACCTGTGCAGCAGATGGAAATGGCTGTAGTAAATCTTTATGTGTGGTTTAAAAGCTCTTGCCAGAATACTCAATTTCTTTCATATTGTTAACAATGTCCTCAACTCTTATTGATATGTATTCTGCATGCTCCTCAAGATATTTCAAAATCATATGTAGTTGCTCTTGAATGTATGCAGATCGTTGTCTCTCATGCTGCAGCTCATTGGATAGGTCCTGTATCTTCTTATCCTTCTCATCCTGCAATATGAAGTATGCATGTTTAGTTTCTTATGATACGAGAATATATTTTATATATAATGCATTCCTAAAGGATAAAGTGGTGTTTGGATTGAGGTGGAAATGGAAATTAGGATAGAAAAAGAAACATAAATACAGTAGTTCCAAAGACTGGTGGGATCTGGAGAACAGTGGACTGTTTTTTTTTCCATGTTTTTTGCCAACGTAGTGCATTTTTTATTCTGTAATGGGGCTAGTCGTTCTGAAATCCATTAATTTTCTTTCATTCTGTTGCAAGTTTCCACTTTGATCCCACCAATCTAAACTCAACCTTAGAGAATATTAGAATGAAAAACATGTTAACCAGACAACAAATACTGAAACTTCGAAGAATACCAGGTAAACATTGAATATATCTACCACAAAAAATAAATAAATAAATAAACCAAAGTGCTCCCATGAAATAAATAAATAGGAACTAGCATCAATGTAATATGGCATAACTATCATCAAGGAACAGGGATACTCTGCAAGAATTAGGAAAACCATGTTTAGTCTAAAAATTCAAGGGATGAGTTCATTGTTTTGTCCAAATTACAAGTGTTTTATGCTTCTGCAGATTCTATAAAAGAAGGGACCCGTGTCCTGATTAATTGTCAAAGGCAGATTGAATCATGGAATAAGGGAAAAGAGGTCAACAAAAAATTACAGATTAACAACTGAAACCAAAGCTATATCATATTCTACAAAATTACAGAGTATCAACTGAATCCTTTCTTAATTGATCAACTTCAATAAATATAATAGAAAAGGGAGGAAAGGAGTATTTGGAAGGGCTAATCTATTCTAGGAGCTGGCTGCCCAGGGGCTAACTAACGAATTTTCTATAATTGAGTGTCTTGAACTTTTCTTCCAGGTCCCTCCAAACTAATAATTTCTTTTTTCCTTTCAATAGACAATAATACTTCAAAGATTCTATTAATGACAGATGAAACTGTACAAGAACAGAGGAGAGATAAACTAAGGGTATTTTTGTCATATAAAATTAATTAATAGGGTAGATTGCTTGTCAAGGTTAATTTTGTCCTTAAAAAATAAAAAAAATGGCACATCTGGAGATTCTGGACCACTTCTGTCATGGTCACTAGCGTTGACTTGACAGGGGGTATGGTGTCTAACAAGAGGGTTTCTGGAGGTATGCTCCAAAAAGTAAGGAAGGGGAGCTTCAGAAAATATCCCTTCTAGCATATCAAGATATATTTCCTCTTGACATAATTGGATGCCATGTCTCAATCTTGCCATTCAATGCATAAAAAATACCTCAATTTCCAAGGTCTTAACATTGAAACTGTTCTGGAAAAAAAAAACTGTTTTTTCTGTGCATTGAACAACACCACTAGTAATTACCATGCCATCAACATACACCACCAGTAAAATCTTCTTTGCTTCTATATCACAAGTTCACAACTCAGACTGATTACCTTGACACTGCTTCATCCCAAATTGCTTTACAACTTCACTAAATTAGTCAGACCAAGGTTTTACAACTGCCGTTGACCCAATGGTAGAACTGTTAGGCCGGAAACTGGCCAGCTCACCAGTTTCGTTTCAGCCTTGAATCAAGGAAAACCATTGAAATGGTAAAAAAACCACTGACCCAAGCAATTGAACCGCTGAACCATTCAACCTGGGTGGAGTATTCTCTAACAGAATTGACACTTTGCTTAAAGTGATTGGGGTTAAACTGCGTGGCCTAGGCAACTAGTTGTCCCAATGTCACCAGAATCACCTAGACACCTTAAAAACTATGGTCCATATACCTATTTCGAACCCCTTTTCTTCTCCAAGGCCCACCATATTATCTTTCTAGGAACTCTGTCATATAACTTTTCTAGATCAATGAACACTAATATGAAGATCTTTCTTCTTCTCTCTAAACTTTTCTATCAATTGCCTCAAAAGAAATATAGCTTCCATGGTTGATCTCCTTGGTATAAAGCCAAATTGGTTCTCTGATATACTTGTTTTAAGTTATAATCTTTGTTCAATTATTCTCTCCCAATGCTTCATATTGTGGTTCATAACCTTGTATATGACCTCTATTCTTTAATATAGGCACCAAACTGTTGTTTTTCCAACCATTAGGCATCTTCTTTTCTTTCACTATCTTACTAAATAGCTTGATTAACCATAACAAGCCTACCTCTCCCATACCTTTCCATACTTCTATTGAAATCTCATCAGGTTCCAACGCCTTTCCCTTTCCATCTTATTTAGTGCATCTTTTACTTTAGTAGGTATAACTCTACGAAGGTAAGTATTATTTTTAACACTACCAATATTGCTAGATTCTCTTCCACTATCATCCTCTCCCTGTTGATCACTTAATAATATTTCAAAATAGTTTTTCCATCTTTGTTTAATTTCCTCATCTTTTACCAAGACTCTTTGATCTTCATCTTTAATGCACCTATCATGGTTTAAATCTTTGCCTTTTCTTTCTCAGTTGTGCTAGTTTATACATTTCTTTTTCTCCCTCTTTAGTGACTAATTTACGGTAAAGCTCATCATAAGCCTTACATTTAACTTCATTCACTTTCTCTTTAACTTCCTTGCTTATGATTTTATATTTTTCCTAGTTTTCTACATTTCTAGCTTTTCACTATTCTTTGTAACATGCTTGTTTTAATCTAATTATATTTTGTCACTTCCCTTTATTTTCTCTTAAGACATCATTTGCTACTTTCTTTATATTGTTTGCCAAGCCAAATATCATTCATCTTTCCATTTAAATTACGACTCCCTTCTATTATCAATCTATTTCTAAATTGAGCTAGATTTTCTCCTTTAATTTTTCCCACCTAATACTTGAGCACCCCTATTTCTCTTCCATTTCCTAATGTGCACATCTACCACCACTAATATATGTTGTGTTGTTAAGCTTTCTCCCAAAATAACTATAATCTTTACACATCATTCGTTATGTTCTCCTCATAAAGAAAAAATCTATTTGGCTTATGCTTAACCCACTTTTAAATATTATTAAGTGTCCGTCATTCTTTTGGAAAAGGTTTTTAAAACTGTCATATCATAAACTATTGCAAAATCTATATTGTACCTCCTGATTCATTCCTCTCCACAAACCCAAATCCTTTATGCACCATATCATATCCTACACTTCTTTTCCCTACATGCTCATCTAAGTCTCCTCCTATAAAAATCTTATCTTCGTTTGGAACTTCTTAGATTAACCTTCTAAGTTTTCCCAAAATTGTATTTTAATGTTTTCTTTTAGACTCACTTAAGGTGCATAAACACTAATTATGTTAATAATTTTCTCACCTAAAACAAGTCTAATTATAATTATTATATCCCCAAAACTTTTAACATTTTCAATTTCATTTTTTTAAATCTTTATCCACTATTATCACTACACCATTTCTATTATTTACTTCTCCCATATACCATAATTTTTTTTTATCAATAATGGAAAATTTTATTAACATTTATCAAAAAAAAAATTATTAACACAGTGAAGCTTTAATTACAAAAGAGGGGGAGGTAAACTATCTTAACTCCCCCAACAGCATTAAAAAGAAAATTCACTCCTTGCTTGGCTAGCCCATTGGCAAGTGAATTAGCAGTTCTTTTTACCAACTGTATTTAACCTCAATGTCCCTAGTCAGCCACTTAAGTTTTTTTTTTTTTTTTTTTTTTTTCATTACTGTATTTCCATATACCTGAGTTGTCCCTAAGCCATCTCACCACCACCTCCAAGTCACCCTCAATAACCAGTCTTCTGATGTTCAACTTCCTTGCTCTTTGGGCACCTTCCAAGGCCGCAAGGATCTCAGCCCTAAGAGAGTCTCCTTCCCCGATAGGGCCTGAGAACATGGCTTGAATAAGCATTGTTGTGGCTATTAATTCCATATTTCCATAATTTTTCTTATTAATGTTCGTCCATTCCAAGTGGTTAAACGAAGTAGTGTTTCTTGGACTAGCTTTTTTACCCGCTTCCATCCAGAAGGATGCAGGAACCACCCTTGCCTATTTGACACCACAACTAAGCATTGTCGTGGCAAGTCACTTACAAGGACCATCCTAACAAATCCTTGCCCACTTAACACTACACTTGGGTTAGGGTACAGTGTGTGACAACAAGCTAAGCCAAAGAGAGTCTAACACAAGGTTTCAAGGGTGTCGGAATGAATGAATCAACCCCCATCCCAAAGAGCCTTTATTATATTGTATATAATTGCAAGAAAGCCCTCATAGGGCTTAAAGAGGAAAAAAAATAAAAGAATAAAATACAATGCAGCAGGGGCTATTATAATTGAATACATCAATACTCTTCATACTCCCCCTCAAACTAATGCAAAGTCATAAGCATCAATTTGCTCACAAGAAAGAGATGTCTTGCTCTCGTCATAGCCTTAATAAAAATGTCAGCAATCTGCATATCTGAGGCCGCACGAGGAAGTGAAATAGAACCAGCAAGAAATAGGTTTTTTGATATAAGTGACAATACAATTCAATATATTTAGCCATCTTGTGAAAAACTGGATTCGAGGCAATCTTGATAGCACTGTTGTTGTTAGCATAAAGAGGAATAGGGGTAGGGAGATGAACACCAAGATCATCAAAGAGAGATTGTAGCCAAACAATCTCACTACAGACAAATGAAATAGCTCTATACTCCACGTCTATAGATTTTGGATATTATTTGTTGTTCCTTGCACTTCCAGGAAATGAAGGAATCACCCATGAAGACATACCACCCCATAGTAGAACGTCTAGTGTCAGGGCAGCTCTTTCATATTAATTCTAGAAACACAACTCTTTTCAAGAATAAATTTCAAATCTGAGACCTTCTCAAAGCATTTATCAATAATGCAGATTTTCCAATCCCTTCTTCCAATACAATCACAAAAGTACAAAACAACAATGTATCATTAGCAAACTACATATGTTTAAGTTTAGTTCCCTCTCTCACCACATCTTATCCATTAAATAGCCCTACCACTTCACCTTTAATACTCATCCTACCAGTATACACCTGCAACATTGCCTCCTAAAACCCTTTCTTGGTTGAAACCCTTTCTTGGTTGAAAACCCTTTCTTGGTTGAAAAAGTCATGTGCCACTCCATTGAAAAATAGAAAGTCCTCAAAAACCCCCTTCTCCAAATCTACTTCCTCCATCTGGACTATAGTGCCTCATTGCCTCCTTCAAAAAAGATCCAACATGGTCACAAGCCTTTTCTAGATCAAGTTTGCACACCCATTCTTTCCACCCTCAACAGTCATTGGCATTAAGGCATAGATGATGATTTGTCTATCCTGAATAAAAGCACCTTGAAATCGGGTGACCAATTTCTGGATGGTTTCTTTTAATCTCAAAGATAGGACTTTCTCTATAATCTTGTATAGGCATCCCTCTAAACTAATAGGCCTTAACAAAAAACTTAGGTTGATCCAAGCCAACCTTCTTAGGAATCAAAGCTATGAATGCAGTATTAGCCTCAACATTTATTGACCCATGTCATGGAACTCCTAAACACTTGTATTACTTCCATCTTGACTATGGTGGTGTTTGGTAAATCTGAAGTCTGAAGTCTTAAGTCTGAAAAGCAAAAAAAAAAAAAAAAAATCTGAAAAGGCTCTGAAAGCAATCTGTGGTAAATTTTGTTTTAATACTTTTGCAGATGTCTGAATATAGTGGAATTGTTCAGTAATCTGAATGTTGTGATGTCTGAAAAATCTGAAGTCTATGAGGCATAAGTCTGAAAAAAAAAAAAAAAAAAAAAAATCTGAAAAGGCTCTGAAAGCAATCTGTGGTAAATTTTGTTTTAATACTTTTGCAGATGTCTGAATATAGTGGAATTGTTCAGTAATCTGAATGTTGTGATGTCTGAAAAAAATGCATTTTACAAATTTATCCTTCAAATTGTTATTTAAATAATAATAAGTGAAAATGACTAAAATATTATAATATTATGAAAAATATTATAAAGTCATACAAGATGTAATTAAATTATATAAAAAAGAATAATTTTATAAAATTAATCGACATCCTCCTCTCTATTGGTCCTCTCTGCAAATAAACCAACACCGTAGTGTAGAAAGAAGCTTACAGGACACTTCAAAACATAATATGCAAATAAATAACTGATTTTTCTTTTATTTTCTCTTGGTCTTCTTCTCCACATAATTAACTACTCTCAAAGGCATCTAAGAACAAAATCAGAAACCGAGATAGAATACCAGATTGTACTGTTCATCGTCTTCCTCTCAATACCGACAAAGAGGTGGTGACAACTGGGTCCCTGATCTCTTCTCCTTCCTCTGGCCACTCTTCTTTCATTCTCCCTCTCTCTTCCTCACTCCCATCAAAATCAAATCACCAAAATCCCTATTCATCATTCTTAACCTCTCGACGACAGCCACAGAGTCTCACAAACGGTAGTAAGAGAGATCAACCTCTTCCGATTTTGGCTTTTCAATCGTTGAAATCATCTTCCTGCAATCTTTCCTCTATTTTCTTCTTCAACCAATCATCCCCTTCCCCTGTTTATGTTTGGTTTGAAACCTCACTGTCGCCATTGCAACCTCTGGAAGCAGCGGTGACCCTTCCCAGCATCTTTCTCTTCTCCCTCTCTCCTTACTTCTCCAATTCCTCTCCAACACCAGACTGTACTACCTGCATCAAGTGGTGAGAAGCGGCGCGATGGTGAATCTGAAAAGGTTTCCTTGCATCAAGTGAACATCCTGAAGCACATTGCTTTTGCCAATGAAGCACATCACACAAGCGAAGCAAGTTGTCTTCACTGATGAATCAAGGATAAGCTACCTCCGAGAAGACATAGCAAATAATCACAGTAAAGTACATCGCTTTTGCTTTCTTGATTCATCAGAGAAAACGACAACTTGCTTCTCTTGGTCTCCTCATCGCAAACCAGAGTTTATTTGGGGGTTTCTTGTTTTGTTGGATTTCTGCATAAAATTTAAAATCTCATCCTCCAGAGCAGAGGTTGATTGCAGAGGGAAGAAAACAAATGATGAGGGAAGAAAAAGATGGTGTAGGGTACAGTGGGGAAATGAATTTTGTATGCTAGCTTTGAACGTGCTCGGAGGCAGTGGGTTTTCTGAATAAATTGGAGGCATTTTCAGTGTTCGGAGGGTCGGTTCAGGGATGCTATTGAACGACTCTGAAGCATTGAAAAGTAAAAATTTCAGTGTTCAGAGCTCAGTTCAGCACTACTGAACGCCACCTATGTCACAATTCTAAATCAATTCCTTATGAAATTCATACAGATTCCACAACAAGATCTAGCAAGGAAAGTGTGAAGTTTACTGATTGGTAATATCTCTTTCATGAAACAATAGTTGGTCAACATGTTCATAGTAATTATCTAATATAACCTTGAGTCCTAGTTTGTGCAAAAAATGCCAAAGGTTAGGACCATATCCAGACTACCCCTCCGAAGACCCCAGATAGCTAGCACCAACATTACATAATGGCCATCCTCGAGTCCCAGTTTCAAGCTACATCCATGTGCAGGTTCATGTTCCACTATACTTAATTGATATGAAATGGAGTCATTCATGAATAAAGCAACTAGAAAAGGCAAATAATTCCACCTATTAATCAAAATTAAAATTTCAACAATCTTTATCTACTTTCAATTATTGCAATGAAGATAAATAAGGGAAAAAAAACTGATAATTAATTGGTAAAGAATGAAATGATAAATGGTAGTTCATTTAAGTCATACCTCACTAAGTGAGGGTTTTTTTTTTTTTTTTACCTCACTAAGTGTATTCATAGCTGGTCGATCCTCTGAAACTTTACTCTGAATGATTAGCTTGTGATTGTGCTCACCGACAAACTTTGTGACTACCCATTTACCTTCATCTCTCAAAGCCACCCTTATCATGGCTTTGCATCCTTCTCTTGTGATTGGCCTCGGAGGAAGAACCCTATCTTTTCTTAGTGTATGCTTTGCTGCACGAAAACCTTCCCTTGAGCAAACATAATCACGTGCTATAACTTCCCTGTTTTTCTGTGAATGTCGAATCCGATTTGTACGTATTGTGAAACCTGTCCTCTTAGCATATGCATAATAGAAGTCCCTTGCATCATCCACTGATTTGAATGTCATTCCAGTATACGGTTCTAAAGGATCCTCACTAACAGTTAACCCTTCCACAGATGGTTCAGTCAATACCATGTTACTGCTTGCAACATTTTGTGAGTCACAGATCTCCAAAAGTTCTTTTTCATTCTTCTCATGTTCATCAAAAGCTTCATCATATATATTTTTGTCACTTTCTATTAAACCAAATGCATCATGAGATGTCTTCTCCATCATGTTCTTACCAGCCTACCAGGCTACCTCACAAAAATAAAAAATAGATATTTCCCTTCAATAACTATAATTTTTAAAAACAGAGAAGAAATTCCATAATTCAGTCTATTTGCTCCATTCTAGCCTCCCTGAAACAGCAATTATGCACTGAAATCAGCACTTGATATGACTTGGTCATACATCCTTACCAACACACTACAAGCTTATTCATGGTCACCCCTACATCATCATTAATGTTTGATATAAAAATACAAAACTACAAACGATATCTTGAAAACTGAGGAAAGTCAATCATCATCAACATCATCTGCCCAATCCCACCTAGCTATCATAGAAAATATATAGTCTTAATCCAAACATATATGAGATTCAGATTCAGATTCATGAAAATGGTAAAATATTCGTAAATCAAACTATTCAAAACACAGAATATGCAAATGCAACAAGTCAAGTAGGCAACCATACGAGTTAAATGCATAAACTATTCATTTGTTATAATTTATTTTAATTTAAATTAGTAATTAATAAATAACAATATATAATGTTAAATAAATAGAAAATAGAATAATAGAAGATCCATAAGTCTAAGACATAAACCATATTCATATTCAAAATTTCAAATCAAACTACTGAATGAAAAGAAATTTTCTACATTAAATTTATTTTATTTCTATAAATTACTAAAAATTAAGTCACAGGATAAACTTTATCTTAATATGATAGCTAATAACCTTCTACAAGTTACTATATGTTTTAAAAACTTAAATAATAACATGTTACTATTTAAATTAAAGTATTAAGTAGTAATTAAAGAAAAATATTAGTCTTAATTTCAAAAATAGATCAGATCCATCAGAAACTATGATAGAGCAACCACAACTCCATTAATCCAAGATACAAATCATATGCAAGTATGAAAGCAATGAAGTTTTATTATTATTATTTTTTTATCAGCAAAAAAGACTTTTACTAATAACAGAGAAATATTGAATTACAATAGTTATAGGTTGCAGTAATGCATTAACCCAATCTACAAACACATACAAACAGTTACAGTTATGCCTAGTACAAGGTAGATCTATTTGCCCCCTGTTGCTAGGGTATCCGCCAACCCATTTGCAGTCATTTTGACCCAACCAAACTGAGAGTTGAACCTCCTTGCAAGTATGTCAATTTCTCTATAGATAAATTTGAGCTTCCAAGGTGCTGATGTGATGTTTTTAGCCCAAGAAATGACCAGTAGTGAGTCTCCTATTTCTAAATCTGTTGTTCCAATCTGCTCAGTCACCTTTAAACCTTGAAGTAGAGCCAGAGATTCAGCCTCTATCGAGTCACCAATACCTATTGGTCCTAAGAAGAGTGCCACAACTTCACCTAGATGATTTCTAATCACACCACCTATACCTGCCCTTCCCGGGTTACCAAAGGAACTCCCATCAAAGTTTAGGTTTAGTTTGTTCAGTGCAGGTGGCTTCCATTCCGCTCTCACAACTTCTTTGGATACATCTGTTTGTGCTACTTCAGTCCAATTTCTTAGAATCTCATTCGTGGAGAAGTTTTTGAATAGTTCCATGGTCATCACCCAATGTGCAGTTCTGATTTTTATGGATTCAATGGCTTCCTCCTTTGATTTATTCTTTCCTCCCATATAGTCCATACCGCAACAACTCTTGCTGCCTTCCATAAGCACTTTCCTCTTTTCTTCTATTGCCCCAGGAAGGAGGGGCTGAATAGACTTACCACATCCCGTGGGGGAGCCCATCTGCATCCAAAGAGAGAACAAACAATTTCCCAAATACAAGAAACAAAAGAACAGGATAAGAGTAAGTGGGGTAGGGTTTCACCACAATCCTTACAAAGGACACACACATGAGGAGAGAGGCATTTGTTTGTCCTTTTCTGTAGCACATCACAAGTGTTTACCTTCCCTAGGAACAATTCCCAACAGAAGGCTTGTACTTTAGGAGGGATCGGTTTAAACCAGATTTCTCTGACTAGGAAGTTCACCCCCAAAGGATCAGAGTGAGTGAGCAAACCGAAGAAAGAGGCACAAGAGAATAAACTATCAGGAGTTGGGGACCAAACTCTACTATTAGCTGTAGTTTGGTCTAAATAAACCTTCTCAAGGGTTGAGAATATAAGCAATAGGGACTCACATTTATTTTCCCTCAACCCCTTTCTGAAGCCAAAGTCCCAAGAGATACCCAAGTCTGAAAGCATGCCAACCCTAACAACAGGTTTGTTTTTAAGGTTTGATAAAGAGTAGAGGTCTAGGAATTTAACCTTAAGGTTGTGTTTGGTTTGAAGGAAAAAAATAGGGAAAGGAAGGGAAAGGCAAGGAAACCTATATAAGGTTTGTAAAGGTTTCCCTACCTTTCCCTTCCTTTCCTTACTTTTTCCTTCAAACCAAACATAGCGTAAAAGGCAAATTCCCAACACAAAGGCCTTCCCAAAATAAAAATTTATTGCCACACCCAACATCAAAATGGATAAATTGAAGAAAGGTTGGTTTTGCATCCCAGTTGTTTTTTGCTTCACCATGAATGCTTTTAATGACCTTGTGCCACAACCTATCTTCTTCACAAAGGAATCTCCACAGCCATTTCCCTAGGAGGGCCGTATTTTTCTTTAAGATGTTCCCAATACCTAGGCCACTTTGCTCCTTAGGTTTATAGACTTGCTCCCACTTCACTAAATGATCCCTCTTTTCATCACTTGGTTCCCACAAAAAAATCCCTCATTATCTTCTCCAACTTCCTTGCTATTTTCACCGAGATCTTAAAGGTGGAGAGGAAATAAGTGGGCAGATTTGCTAGGGTAGATTTTATCAAGGTGATTCTTCCCCCCAAGGAAATATAACTTCTCTTCCACATTGCCAACTTCTTTGTGAATCTCTCTAAAATGAGCTTCAGCTTTTGGGTTTCCCCCCCAAGGGCATACCTAGGTATTCTAGAGGCCATCTTTTTACTTCACAGCCTAGCAAATTTTCCATGGCTTGGATGTCCCCCTTCCCTAGGTTTATTCCAACTACACAACTTTTTCCCAATTCACATTTAGTTTGGAGGCCTGTTGAAACTTATCCACCAAAATTTTCAGATTCCTCAAACTGGACTCATCACAACTCTCACAGAAAATGATTGTATCATCAGCAAATTGCAAGTGAGACACCAATTCTGAACTACCAATCCTCCAACCTTTAAACTGATTTTCTTGGTCAACCTTGATCATTTGTCTACTCAAAACCTCAGCAACAAAAAAAAAAGGAATGGGGATAAGGGATCATCCTATCTTAGTTCTCTTTTAGTTGGGAAGAAGTCCTTTGCTACCCCATTTAAAAGGATAGAAAAATGTACCGAGCTAATACATCCTTTGATCCATAGTCTCCATCTTTCACCTAAACCCATCTTTTCCATGAGATTCAACAGAAAGGACCAATCCACCATATCATAAGCTTTTTCTAGGTCCAATTTACAAATCAAACCTTTGCCACCTTGTTTTTTCTTAGCTGCCACACATTCATTTGCCACTAAGGTTTGATCCACTATTTGTCTCCCTTCTACAAAAGCAAGACAGTCTTCAACCGACCAGCCAGAACTTTAGCAATGATCTTATACATTCTACCCACAAGACTTATTAGTCTGTAATCCTTAGGGGGTTTGGCCTCTTTCTTTTTTGGCACTAGAGCAGTAAAAGTTGCATTTGCTCCTGGAGAGAATTTCCCTTTTTGATAGAGCTCAACAAAGACATCCATTAAATCATCTTTCAAGATTTCCCAACAATCTTGATAGAAAGCCATTGAAAAACCATCCGGCCCCGGAGCTTTAGATCTATCCATCGAGAAAATTGCTTCATGGACCTCCTCTACACTGAAGGCTCTTTCTAAGAGGGCAGCTTCGGATTCTAGCACTCTATCCCACTGTAATTCTCTCAATTCCAAATTGCTTTCAACAGAGGAGGCAAGGATTGACTTGAAATGATCCACAAAGCACCTTTCAATTTCCTCCTTTGAGTTTACTACTTTTCCCTCCACCTCTATACTGGATATTTGGTTTTTCCTTCATCTCCCGTTTGCTAGGGAGTGGAAAAATCTGGTGTTTCCATCCCCCTCCAGAAGCCATTTACACCTTGATTTTTGTCTCCAAGAAAGTTCTTCCTTCCTCAGGATCTCCTCTAGTTGCACTTTTAAATTCCATCTTTAAGCTCTATCCTTCGGCCCGCACTCTTTATGGGCCTCCTTTTCATCCAATTCCTCTATTTTCCTAGCTAATTCCTCCTTTATGACCTCGAGTTTTCCAAATTCTTCTCTGTTCCACTCCTTGACCTTTTCCTTCAATCTTTTCAACTTCTTGGAGAATCTCACCACTTTCTCTCTGGCCCTTATTCCACCTTCTGACCACCAATCTTTTACCTTTTGCATAAAGTTTGGAACTTCCAGCTACATATTCTCAAATCTAAAGGGTGTAGGGCCTCCAATAAGGTTTTCTTGGTAGAAACTTAGGGGGCAGTGGTCTGAGGTTACTTTAGGAAGGGCTTTCAATGTAAGTTTCCCCACAACTCCTCCCAATCAATGGAGAAAAGGAACCTATCCAGTTTTGAGCACACTTGACTTTCCTAAAGACTTGACCAGGTGAAAGAGGCTTGTAACAAGGTAGGTTCTCTTAGTTCTAGGGACTCAATCAAGGAGTTAAAGTGTCTCATACTTGTTTTATGGACTGATTGGGGTTGTTTGTCTCGTTTGTGTACCTTATCACATTGAAATCCCCTCCCAAATACCATGGACCCTCGCAAAGGCCCCTAACTGCAGCTAGCTCTCCCTAGAATGTATCCCTCTCTCTATATGAGTTCGAGCCATACACATTAGTCAGCACCCAATCCCTTCCATCACTCATCCTCTTGGCTTTTATTGAAACTAAGTATTGTCTTATCAACTCCTCTTGACAATCAACTCCCTCGTTCTTCCATATTGTAAGGATACCACCCGAGACACCCCCAAGATGGGCAAAAGACCAACTTAGACCCCTACTACTCCAGATACTTCTTATCCATCTTCCATCCAAATCTGAAAGTTTTGTTTCCTGGAGCATGACTATTACCGGTCTCTCGGTTCTTATCACATTCCTGATGATTT